AATTATATTGATAGCAAGATGTGATATGACAATATTTTTCTAGGGGGAAAATGGTATAATAATAAGAAGTAATTTGGAGCTTCCCTTCATTAGGAGATATACACATTCCATCTCCCATACTGGGAGTCATTCTGATCATTTTTGTTTTTTTTATCTGGTGTTCATGGAAACATTTAAATATATATAGATGTATAATTAAAAAACTGAAGCTGAAACTGTAGAATGTTACATTCAGTAATAAAGCAGACGCAAAATCTGCTCAGTGTGGGATGAAGAAACAGCATGCTCCAGGGTTTACTGTGGTATGAGGATGTTATTGTATTGTACCACCTAAAAACTACAACCACAACTGGGGCCTTCATTGTACCAGATGCTGCCCAGACATCAACCAAAATCTGTGCCCCCTTTGTGCTAGATACTCTACAGAAACATATTGAGAAATAGTTCCTGCCCTAAAGACAGTCTAAATAGACAAAGGATAGGAAGGGAAACTGAGGGAGTGAGGTGATTTGCCCAAGGTCACCCAGCAGGCCAGTGGCAGAGCTGCAATTATAACTTAGGTGTTCTGGGCCCCAGGCCTGAGTGCAACCCATTGGACAACACAGCCTCCTTGGGCTCAAGTCCTGGCATTGCCTCTGTTCTGCTGGGTGACCTTGGGTAAATCCCTTCCCCTCTCAGTATCCGTTTTCCCTCCCACCTTTACTCCATGTAAACTGCAAGCTCTGTGGGGAGGGGACTGTTCTTCAGTTGCGGTCTGTGTAGTGCTCAGAGCTCAGTCAGAGTTTAGGGAGTGCCTGGTACAACAGGGGCTTCGAGCTGGGATGGAGATTGGGGCAGTGCCTGTCACAGTGGGAGCCCTGCATCACACAACATTATTATAAAACAGGAACTCTGTCTGTAACACTGAAAGCCGCTTGCGAGGTTTATACTCTCTCTCAGCACGGCTGTGTCCTGACTGGGTTTATCTGCTTTTATAATCAATAATAATTATTCTGTCCACAGGGGATCTTTCACAGCCATGGCTTGTAACAAAGCTGCTAATGCCTCAACAAACCAAGCATTTAGGGCCCCATCCAGGACGGTGCTGGTATTTGCTAGTGCAGCCAGCCTTAGTGCAAGCCAGGGATGCTCCAGCCTTTGGAGTTCTGCAGTGAATAATGTGCAGGGGCCTGGCACAGTGATAAATCAAGAGCTTATTAATCTTAAACTCTGATATTCAGGTTTTTTAATGAATTGACTTTCAGGGCCCCTTTGGTTCACTGGAGGGTTTAAACCTGACAGCAATTAGGCAGCTAGCGAGCCGAGATTACTGCCCAGCCCGTTTCCACATATGGGTTTCAATGATCCAGGAGGAAATTTCTGGCTGGGGAGAAAGAGCTTGCAACAAGCCCGGCCTGTGTCAGTGGTCAGGGCACTCATCTGGGATACGGGAGGCCTACAGGCAAATCCCTGCTCTGCCTGGTGTGGGCTTCAACCTGGCTCTCCCACAGCCCTGGAGGAGTGCTCTGACCAGTGCCTTGCAGGGCCGGCCCGCAACATTTTGGCACCTGAAGTGGGGAGCTCAGAGGACACCCCATGCTCCCTCGTTGCAGCAGCAGCAGACACAATTTTCTACACTCTGGGTCCTAGTGGCGCACCCCCCCCCCCACACCTGAGACTGTTGCCTCAGTTCGCCTCATGGTAAGGCCAGCCCTGACTGGACTAGTAATCAGGAGACTTAGGCTGTGTCTACACTACCCCCCCCCCCCGCACACACAGTCTGGCACCTGAGGCGGTGGCCTCAGTTCGCCTCATGGTAAGGCCAGCCCTGCTGCCTTGTAGTCAGTCTCTCTCTCTGTGTCCTGGGAAAGCTGTCCCATGTTGTAGAAATCATTACACATTTATTTGGCCAGAGAGCAATTCTCTCCCTTGGTGGCCAGGGATGGGTGGGATGTGGCAGACCCATGTTTAAGTCCCTGGTGTCTAGATACACAAGAGAGCAAGGGGCACGGGCCCAGTCCCTCCCTACGCAGGAGATTGAGGGAAGGCACTGGAAGACTAGCAGCACTAGAGTAGTGCTAGCCTGCACCCCCCTGCAGAGCAGTCATATCAGTAGCTGACCTGTTCTGCTTACCTGAGTTCAAAGAACCACCCCACTCAAGAGAAGGAGTGTTGTGTGTAGACAGGAATGGAGTTAGGGACAAGACTTCTGTTACCTTTGCACTATCTAGCTGTGTTTAATGTTGTGTTAGTTAACATGAATCCTCAGGATTAGCTTGTAATAGGACTTAATATTTTGGTGAAAGGAAACTCTTACTTCATCTCCCATAAGATTTTAACATGGCTTAGTACAAAGGGGGATAAAAAATACGTCCTTTCTCTGAGGCCTGGTCTTTACTAGGACGAAAGGTGTGTTCGTAACTCATGCTCACCAAGCCCCAGCAGAGCCATGACAAGGTGTAGCTTTAACATGAGTTAGCAGGTGGAGGTGAATCCCTTACCCTTCTCGCCAAGAGGGAATATCGATACTACAGTCCCAGGCTGCGACTGCAGCACACACAGCTCCATCTGAGCTACCTTTGATCTCGCTAGTGCAGGTACAAAGAGGGGAGCTAGGGCAGCATGCTAAAGTCTGAGCTGCTGCTCCTTCTTTGTTGTTGGTACCTGAGCTAGGTCGATGCCAGCTGGCTTGGTTATGTCTGTGCATGCTGCAGTTGTAATCCACTGGTGAGAGTGTGCGCTAGGCCCCCTCTCTGCAGATGCACAGAGTGTCACAAACACCTGGTGCATGGGCCTTTTAGTACAAGCTGTAGTCATTTATGCTTTGAACTCTGGAAGTCGCTGGTTCTATCCCTGGTGTGTCAGCTCAGCACAGGGTCTGTGTGGACATTAACTCTGTGTATGAAAAACTTGCCTTCGCCACCCTTTAGCTAGTCTGAGTAATGAACGTATGGCTTGTCCTAGCGAAGATGCTTGCCCATAGAAGAAGAGTGAACCCTTGCCCAGGCCTTGTGCACAGTTCAATTGCTTTAAGCCAGCCTGCAAGTGGCAACTTCTCCTGCCATATCCACTTGCTGCAGGGCTAAGGCTAGCCATGCAGGGAGAGCATGTGCATGGTGTTGCTCTTTGCTCAAGCTGGCTTTCCCCAGCTCAGACAATGCATGCAGAGGACTGGGGAAGAAGAATTTCAGCCAGCCAAAGATTTCAAACATTTGACAGCCAGCCAAAGATTTCAAACGTTTTTGTTCTGCACTGAATCGAAACTGTGATTGTTTGAAAAAGCATTGAGAGCCCCCAGCGCAGCCAGCTAGCCCCAGTGGCCAGGGCATTGCTCAGGTGTGCAGAATACCCAGGATGATGTCCCTGCTCTGCCTGATTTGGAGAAGGAATGAGAACATGGGTCGCTGTATTTTCTGAAAAACACGGTTGGATGGAGAACTCCCAGGGAGCTCTCCAAAGATGCACCTTATCCATGTGTAGTTCCATAGCTCCCCTTCCCTGATGCAAAGTTTGTGTCCATATCACTCTCACACAGAGGCCCATGCTGCCTTTAGTTGGTAAAGTAGCAGGAATTCACAGGGACGGATGCACCTGCTGCATTTTAGGGGTGTTTTCTAGGTGGGGAGTGGGCCTTTAGGACTTAGATGAGCTCCAGCTCAGCTATGGGGATGGTCCCAAGGTCCTGCAGAAACCAAGCACTGCATCCTCACCGGCCTACTCCTCAGTGGCTCTCCAGATGCAATTACTTGGACCTTTTTGCTGAGGACACAGGTTATATCTGCCCTTAAACTCTCACACTAGCCAGTTGCCAGGAGCTAAATTGGAAGGCAGTATTGCCTAATAGGGTGAACACTGACTTAGGATATAGGCAAGCTGGGTTCTGATTGTGGCCATGACAGTGACCATGAGCAACTATACAGCCTTTCTGTGCCTTAGTTTTCCCATCTGTAAAATGGGGCTAATGACCCCTCCTTTGGAAAGCACTTTGAGGTCTGCTGATGGAAAGCACTAGATAAAGAGTAGGGATACTTACTGACTCCCAGATTAGGCACCATGCTTAGGCTAGTCCCTGTCAGCAAGAGGAGCTGCTCCATTTCCTCTAATGGTTGGGATCCAAAGACCGCCGGGAACTCCAGGGCCCTAGGCATCATCCATAACTCTGGGCATGCCCAGCAAAGTTAAGATGCACAGGGAAGATAACACCTCTGGTAGCTGTCCCAGGCTGGCTGCAGGCTGAGGCAGGTGACACTGACTCTCAGGTTATGTTTTCAAAATTTTTCTTTGGTCTCTCTCCCTCCTATCCCTCCCCAATGCCACCAGACACTCCTCTGTTTCTAAGGGCATGTCTACACAGCAGGGCTAAAGCTGAAACAATCTATGCAATTTGAGCTACCTCAATTGAGTAGCTTAAGTCGAAATAGCTTATTTTGACTTTTGGCGCTGTCTACGCAGCAGGAAGTCCGAGAAAGAGCACTATTCCTTCAACTTCCCTTACTCCTCATGAAATGAGGGTTACAGGAGTGGTAGTAAGAAGTCCTCCAGCTCGACATTTGCTTTTAGTGTAGATGCAGACTGTTATTTTGGAATAACATCAGTCATTCCGAAATAACACTGCTGTGTAGATGTGCTCTAAATGAAAGCTGTGATTCTAACTCGTCCTGAGATTCCATCCTGCTCTAACCATGCTCCCTGCAAAAGTCCCAAGAAGATGTCCTCCCTTCCACCCCTCTCTTTCACCTGCTAGACCTACGCCCTTCCCAGAGCTAGGAATAGGACCCAGGAGTCCTGCCTTCACTGCTCCCTCTCCCTGGTGAGCACAGAGGAGTATCCCCCATGTCATCTGGATCCCAGGACTTCCCTGGGACATAACCCTTTTTGGCATTTTCTCCCTGCAATTCATGTTCCCCATTTATGCTAATGGAACCATCCCATCCTCATGTCTCTGCTATTGACAGTTAATATGTATGACTGACTTTACCAGGCTCCAAATGTGCCTGCTCCAATCTGTGTGGTAAGCTTACCTTCCTGCTACGCCGCTCCCTCCTCTCAGATCAACTTGGGCTTTAGACTCCTACTTCCATGGATAGGGCTGTAGCTTTGCAAACTCCAACGGACTCTTTATGTCCACAGTTGGCATCAGTTCATCCCAACTTCTTTTATCCTTCTTCCCAACCCAACACACCCTGCTGACAACGATATATAATCTGTCTAGCCCTCCCCAGCAACCATGCACATTTTGGGGGCTGGCAGTCTTCAGTTCAGCTTGCCTCTTTGTAAATCCATCCTTTTCAGTGTTAGTTTCCAGTTTGCAGCCCAAAGGAATTTTTATTTCCTTGCAGGTTGTCCAAAGAGCCACACTTTTTTTTTTTCTTTTTGGCAATCTCTCCCCCTGAGCCCTGGTGTCTGATTCCTCCGGCTTTCTTCCAAAAAGTTACTTAAAACAGGATAAAAATCCAATCCTTTCTCAAAGCCCCCCGGCAGCAGGGTGTTCTTGCGTGACCAAGCTGAGGGATTTGTATTCACACCCACTCCGTGGAGGCAGAGTTGCTGTGCTACTCAACCGTGGAGGTAGCTCCCCTCCAATCCGCTTGACATACGCTGCTGAGTTGTCACAGCTTCCAGGGGGAGCAGGCTCTGCTGCTTTTGCTTTATGAGGGGAACAGCTTTTCAAAGAAGAAAAGGAAGGGGAAAATCCATTCTTATCACAGGTTGGATGTGAAATCCGCCCATGCGGCGAGGAATCCAGGGTATTTCTCTGCAGATTGCAACTTCTGCCCTGCAAAAATGATTGGACAGAGTTAGTAGGCAACAGGTATTTATTTGCAAAGGAGGAAATAGCAGAGTATCAGCTTAGTAATTAACAGCCATTGAGCTGTGTGTGTATGTGTGTTTGCGCGCGTACCGTCTGACACTGCCAGTAGATCAGAGGAACACACACATTCATAGATTTGCATTGAGAAGGACACTAATGCAGATTGACATAAACAGACTCATGTCAGGATTGACACACAGAGACATACCAACACAAAAATGTGCACAGACTGAGACACACACAGAAACACTGGTGGATAGGGACACTCACAGGGACACACTGGCACACGCAGACCTGACACACACAGAAGCACATATACATACACTTGATCTCTGTCTGTCTCTCTGTCTCACACACAGTTTTTTACTTAGACACCAACATTTACGGAGTCTGTATCTCAGTGGATCAGAGTTCAGAGAAATAGTTGTGCCATCCTCAATTGCCAAACCTATGTTCATACCACTAAGGCTACAGACAAACTAGGGCAACTAGGTGACAAGTTCTAGGTACTGAAAACCTGAGAAGTCCCTTAATTCAGTCTCTGGATTTGACTCAGTAACCTTTGTTTCTGAAAAATGACTTAGTGATTTGGGGTTCCTGACAGAAGACTCCCAGGTTTTTTCAGAGGGTAATTTCTGGACGGACACCTGCTGCCTGTATTCAGAACCCCCTCTAGGAACAAAGCATCCCCAAATCTGGAATTGCTTTGGAAAATACAGATTTTTTGTGGCAGGACTTTTCAAATAATAATATTGTGCTTTCCATCAGTAGACCTCAAAGCACCTCACAAAGGAAGTCAGTAGCACTAGTCACATTTTACAAATAGGGAAACTGAGGCACAGAGTGGGGCTGTGATTTACCAAAGATCACACAGCATGCCAGTGGCCAAGCAGGACAGGTTGCCTGAGTGCCAATCCAATGCTTTGTCCACTAGACCACAGAAAGTGGGGTCAAATGTCTAGAGCCTTAGGTTCCTAAAATCCTGTTTTCAAAAGTAGCAGACATTTCGGAGTGAAGTCTCACTGATTTTGAATGAGAATTAGGCTCCTGTGGCCCAGATCCGCAAAGATATTTAGGCTCTTAACTCCCATGGAAATTAGGCTCCCGAATACCTTTGAAGATCTGTGCCTAAGAGACTTTTGAAAAGGAGATTTAGGCTCCTATTGCCTTAGTTACATATGAAAATTGTGCTCTCAGCTTCTAAGCCACCAAGGGTGCATCTACATAGCAGGACTTAACTCGAAATAAGCTGTGCATATTGAGCTACGTCAATTGCGTAGCTTATTTCAAAATAGCTTATTTCTAAATTGGGAGTGTCTACACAGTGCTTATTTCGAAATAAAGCGCTCTTCCTCCAACTTCCCTTATTCCTCGTACAATGAGGGTTACAGGAGTTGGAGTAAGAAGTCCTCCAGCTTGACAGGATTTTGACATTATTTCGAAATAACTGCCTGCTGTGTAGACACAGACTAGGTTATTTTGAAATAACGCTAGTTATTTCTAAATAATGTTGCTATGCAGACCTACCCCAAGATATTTTTAAGATGTTCCCCAAAAGCCTATAAGGATTCTCAAATTGGGACATGGGCACTTTTGAAAATGTCATCCATTAAGCACCATCTCCCAATTGATTCCTAATTCCCTACTCCTTTGAAACTGTTATTATTTTGGAAGTACCAACCAAAATGGATTTATGAGCTCCTTTGAAATTTCAAAATCATTTTCAATTCAAAATGGTCTGTTTTCCATCTCCCTCCGCCTCTGCACCTCATCTTTCACAAAATATTTGCAGCTGAAATTTTGATCACAGACTGCCATCAACAGTTTATTATTTACCAAAAATTCCAGAAAGTGGCTTCTGATGGAAAAAGTTCTGTGAAGCTTTTCACCGAAGAAAGGAAGATTTTTCTAATGCTGATGATTTTCCAAGAAAATATAAAAATGGTTTTTGGCTCAGGAGAAAAATTGAATTTGTAAATTCATGATTCTAAAATGGATGAACTTTGGCAAAAGCTGGCTCTGAAGGAGCCAAAATCTCTGAGCCTTTGTTATGCAGAGAAACAAAACCTCAGAAGATCAGAGTTTAAATTTTGGAGTGAAATCAGAATAACATGATCTGTGTTCATCAAGGTTGCACACACAGGGCATTTTGCATTTGTTAGTCGAGACGTCTGTGTCTTTGAAATGTTCAAGGAGGGTGGGGATTCCGTTTACCCACACAGACCTGGGTTGTATTGGCATAATGAAAAAATGCTCCCGTCCTGCCTGATGTTTTTGGTGCTCCTGAGAAAGAAAAGAACAGAAGAGGGAAAAGCACTGAGTGAAAGCCTGACTGGGATAAATGAATTCAAGACAGAGAGAAAGAAAAAGAATAGCTGCCTGACGTCTGGTGGCTTTTTAAACCATTTCTGCTAGCATGGGGTGTTGACAAATTGGCTTAAAGTTTCAAGGCTGCATGGTATGGTATGAATCCTTCGCCTAGCATTATCTGTGCTGCCGGAACTTGTGTTATGGAAATCGGGGGCCTGCAGGGTGGATTTCTCCAATTAATTCCCTGCAAATGGGATTTTCACAGCCCATCGCTGGACCCCTTTGCTCTAACTTTCCGTTCCGCCTTTCCTCTCTTTTCAAGCAAAACCACATGGGCTCATGGTGCAAAGGAAGGGAGTTGTCCTCCCCCATAGAATCAGACACACGGAGGTTGGATTTTCCAGGGCACAGCGCCACAAATGAGGACAGAATTTTCTCCCTCTAAAGCTCAGTTCGTATCCCACTGAAAAGCCAAACATAAGTGTCCCGTCGAGTGTGGGCTGGAGAAATTTTGTCCAAATTGCATGTCTGGGAGGGTCCCAGAGGTCAGCCCAAGCCTGAAAATCTACAGAGGAGTTATACAGCCCTGCTGCCTGAGCTCTGTGAGCCTTAGCTGGCTGGCACAGGCCAGCTGTGGGGTTTTCTTTGCTGTGGAGACATCCCCAAAGCCAGCCACACTCTCACTAGCCTGATCTTCCTCTCAAGCCTGTCGCTTCTAATAGCCTGGAACCCTGAGCGCTGCCGCTCTTTTAGCCCTGCTGCCTCCTGGGAGCAGCAATTCCACCTTCCACAGAAAACCTGTGAATCTTCTTTCCACCTCTTCATTTCCCAGCAGCTGGGCTGGTGAAAACAACCCAACTTCATGAGCGTTACTGGGGCAGACCCCTGTTGTTGTGAAAGGGTGTTTGTTTCCTTAGCGCCAGTGGGATTGCATCACTCCGCTGAATTAAAGGGAGTTATACTGGGAACAGCTGGCCATTAGAATCTAACTGGTCTCAGCATTGCCAATAACATCAGGCTGGTGCAAGGTGCTGTACCACTTGCTGCTAGTGAGGGGTGACTGTTGGTGAACTAGATCCACTCCAAGGCTGGGGCAAAGGGAGACAATGCAGCCTGCCTGAGAGTGCAGGGTTGTCTGCCCACGGACCATTGCAGCCTCAACTGCCAGTTCTCCCTCCCCTCCCACCTGTGCAGTCCGGACACTTTCCATTTCTGGGCACTGATGGGCGCTGCTTTACACCAGCTGGGGGCGCGGCTCTGCGATGCCAGACAAAGCAGCTGCTGAGTGCTCGCAGGGCTTTGACTTCCAAAGCTGGCGCCAGGTAGCCCCAGTCTGCAGCCACTTCAGAGCCCTCCCTTATTAATGAAACATTCCTGGTTTACTTCAGCACTGAAAGAAACCTGTGTAATAAAAGGCGCTCAGGGGATCTCAGTGGAGAGGCAAAAAGCCCGGGGAGGGGGCATGGGGTGGGCGGTTCTGCCAATGGAGCACAGGAAGCATTGAGCCATTCTCCCAGGGGGGTTATGGCGATAGATAATCCCCACTCCCCCTTCTCCTGCGAAGCTCAGAGGTGAAGCTTAAATCCCCTTTGATGTTATTACAAGTGCTTTTCGTTCAATTAAGAGCAAGGAAAAGAAGTGCTGTGAGAGCTCCCCGGAGCCAGGTACACTGGTAAATATTAACAAAGGCCCCAGACTGGATTAGACCAATGGGCTCAGCCAGTTCGGCATCCCATCCTGGGCCTCTTCCCTTACTGGTGTGCTGTTCCCTGCTCCTGCCCCCAGATCAGAGCTTTTAGCCCAGTAGCTCCCCCACCTCCACCCGGATCAGTCCGCTATCCTATCTCCCCCCAGCTGCGAGAAAGCCTGTCTCTGTTGTTACTAGTATGTACTGTGCGCATGGAGGTAGCATCCAGGAGACCCAGACCAGGACCCTGCTGTGCTAGTTCTGTACAGTCCCTGTCCCAAAGAGTTTATGGCGTAATCTCTGTGTACTGGTGCTACCAAAATACTGCTAACAATGCCCGTGCCAGAATTGGGCTCTGTTCTTGGCACTACTATCATACCAGTAATAATGTGCTCACTACTCAGTCTGGACTGGGACCTCGAGGTGCTACCCTCCTGTTGATAATAATGCACACCGTCTAATTGCTCATTGATCTGGGTTGGATTGCTAGTTGTGACTGTAATACCAATAACAACACACAGCGTAATGATTCCCTGATCTCAGTGGAGATGTATAGGCACTGCCATGACGCTAACCATAATGTGGACCACAAAATGATGCTACTGTAATACCAGTAACAATGCACATGCTACAATGATGACCTGTAATTACAGTCCGTAATACAGAGAAGGATGAAGCAGCTACTGCACGTGCATGCTGCTGCCCCTGTGGAATGGAATGAGAACCATAGGTCATAGGCCCCCACCCGTTAAGAACAGAGGCCAATTCTCTATTTTCTCTCCATGTTTCTTTGCACCCTGAATCCAAGCGAATGTGACTGTGACATTCCCCATCTCTTGCTAGAAGCAAACCCCGGAAGCAACCAGTCAGGCCAGGTTAGCTGCAGCCCGCTCCGAACACGAGATTGGCCATGTTTAAAGCAAGGGGAAATATTATAGGGTGGGGGAGGGTGTTGTGAGCAAATCTG